CAATCTAGATAATTATTTAGACCATTAGTGGTCGAATATATCCTCTTTTTCATTTTATTAATCTTTTATGTTTATTCAAATTGATTTTGGTTTGAATATTTGCTATAGAAATACCTCTACCTATACCTACAATTTATAGAGTTTTTTTGGTTAGATATATATATAGCTAGACCACACTTGGTACGCATATGTTTAACACCTTTTCCACAAAAAATTTTGAATTGAAAATTCAAAAATTTTGCAATATTCAGATGAAAAATGGTTTGAAATATTGAATCAGCAAAATTTTCAAAGCATTTTAATCTCATATTTAGGCGCTATCATATATCTTGGACCGTTTTCAATCCTAAATATGTTTGCCTATATGTTTCAGAGTCTGCTTCATTTTCCTCAAAATTTTCTTCTTTGCCTTTTCTGTTCCTTCCTTCTCCTCCTCACCATTTGCCTTTTGGTTCCCTCTCTTATTTCTCTCTTCCTCCTTTGCTCTCTTCTTCCCCTTATTTTTGTGTTCCATTTCTCTTCCTCTCCCTTTGTTCCCTTCTTCCTCTCATTTTCCTCTACTCCTTCTCTTTCTTCTTGTTTTGATCCCTTCTCTTTCCTCTTGTTTCTTCCACTTTTCTTTATTCTTCTTACCTAAGTTATCTATATCTATTTTTAAAATTTTAAATTTTGTTTTTATTTTATTTATTTATTATAATAGTTTGAGTTAATTTTATTTTTTGTTTGTTTAATAACCTTGTTTTATTTCTTGTTTTACTAACCTTGTTTTTTTTTTTAGGTTATCATGAAAATTCGGGTAGATCTAAACTTTTCTTTCACATATATGTGTGTGTTTGTGTGTTTTTTTGTTTTAATGCTTTTTTATTTTTATTTTATCTTACTAATTCTATTTCTTTTATTTTTGTAGGAAATGATAAAATTTACAAAGAAAAATGGGTTTAAGTAATTTTTTTTATGTTATTTGTAGTATATATTATAGATTTTTATTTATTTTTTATTGTAATTATATCTAATCATTTTTTTTATTTTTCTATTTTATTTTTTATTTATAATTTCAATTATTATGTTAGAGTTTTAGTTTCAAATGATTGAAAATAAAAAAATGCAAATTGACCTTGTTTATGTTGCATATTTTAATTTTAATTTAACAAATATTCTATATGTAAATATTATATAATTTGTATATATTACTTTTATTTTTTATAAAATGTAACTATTTGTAAGAAGAAAAAAATAATTTTTTTGAATTTTTTAAACATAAAATATAATAAGCACATAAGATAATTTATTTTTTTATTTATTTATCTTGTATTAGAGTGCTATATTTCAAACCAAAATTAGTCTAAATAACATTTTTTTTAAATGTTAATCCAGCTATCAAATTTTTGTTTTTTGCAAATGAGGCAAAATATTTTCAAACCAATAACTGTTTGGAAATATTTTTAGCATAGCACAACATTGAGTCTAAATGAGACCAACAATTTCTGGACAAAAATAGTCTGAAATTATTTCCAAAAAATACCAAGAAAAACACCATAGTTTTTAGTTTCGCGGTTAAGGCCAATAAATTACAAACTATTATCAGTCTGAAAATTTTTTGTGTATTTCAATTTATTTTTTATTGAGACTAGTTTTGGTCTGTAAATGGTAATGTCTTAGTCTTCTTCTATTATTACCCAAATCGATTTTGGCTTAAAAATAAATTATTCAGATTGGTTTTAGTTTCGCTTAAACAATTTCTTGGTCAAATGTTGGCCTTTCTCAAGTTTTATACAAACCCATTTCAGTCTAAAAATAAATGTTGTTCAAATCAAATTTTTGTTGGTCTAAAATTTATATTATTCAGACCAAGTTTTTACGAACTAATTATCCGAATCAATGTTGGTCTAAATATATTTTATTCAAATTGATTTCCAAATTTTTTAGACCGATTTATCGGTTTTGAATTTAGTTGTTTTATCTAATTATCAATAATATCAAAATAAAAATTTTATATTAATATCTAGATAAATTTAGTTCATCACCTACCAAGTCACAACTCATATAGTTTATTTTGAGCAATTCCTATGGGTTCATGATCGTTTATAACAAAGAGCAAATACAAGGATGAGTAATTGTCTAAATATGTGTGTGAATTTTGAAATATGTATGTATTTTTTGTAAGAAAGACTACTCTCTTGTGTATCAAAAGGTGTGATGTAAGTAGATATTGGTATGCCTCTTTTCCATAGAGCACGAGCAACACTTGTATATTATTGTTATGCATAGTTGTCATGCCATGATAAATAATGTATGTATACTGTAGTAACGATTTATCGAGTCAACTGCTATTGGTTGACGATATCTGTCAACACGTAAAAAGTAGTAGAAATGTGTTGTTAGTAAGAATTATCGACAATTGATAATTTGTCCCTTTATGTAGAAATAATAATTATGTGTATGACCATTGGCCATGTTTATATTGCAAGGCTAATTAGGGATTACCTCTCATAACTAGAGGGAAAACATTTGCTAGTTTTTCCCATGATAATAGCATGAACCATGTGTGTAGTTACTATGAAAGTGTCATTTTTGTCCCATAAATCTACCATGTTGTGAAAAGAAAATCCTCACAAATCCACAATGAACCCTAGCATAGCGATCATATAAATGTGGTAACGTGAGTAGAGTTTTGTATGGTAAGGGGATTATAATTGTGTGGCTAGTCATGCCTTTAGTATAAATAAGGTGTAATACCATAAAAAGAGTAATGAAAACCTAGCAATGGCCTTTTTTAAACATACCTACACTATCAAAGGATGGTCTTGGTTATGTTGCTCGCTAGGCACCGCGTTACCATACATGGGAGATCACTAAGGAGCCATTGGTCACACTTGATAGATTTTTATTACTGAAAGGGTAGCCATCCCCCTATAATCGCAAGAATGTGTGTAGTGAACATTTTGTCCAATGAGTGTGAACCATAGCCTTACAATTAATTCTTTTATCCACAATAGATAAGAGGTTCGTAGCAATTGTAAGTGGCCTCATGCTGATTGACTAAGTTGCTATAGTATGTTTGGCCTTTTGTTTCTTTCTAGGAATCATGTGTAGTGTGTTTAGCCCTTTGCCCATTTTCAACAACTACAATGTAGCATGTCTTGTCCTTTGTCTATTTCCAAGTGCCATGTTGTAGAGATATGTTCGATTCTTTGTCTATTGTTGGGAGCCATGTAATAGTAATAAGTTCAACTCTTTGTCTATTGCTAGAAGCCTTGATGTAGAAGTAAGTTCAACTCTTTGTCCATCATTGGAAGCCAAGTAGTAGTAATGTAGTTAGGTCCAAAAAGTTTTAGTAGCAAATCTAGAAGTAGTAATCATGACCTTCACAAGTGTCCAACCATGTTGTAAAGATATATATAACTATGCTTAGCTGTGTGTAAGAGAATAATGTCGAAGTAGAATATGTCTATATCTCAATGATGTGAGTTGAGTGTCATTTCTAGCAACATTGACTCCAGTGTAGCTATCAACACAAGATAATGTGTATCATATCTGACATAGAAATAAGCCGTGTGGGTTCTTTTAATCACAAATTCCTAAATCAATCTTAGTGATGTGGCGTTGCATACGATACAAATGTTGGTAGAGTATTATGCTTAAAAGAAACAGGTACTAGTAGAGTGCCAACATGCTGGACTTAGGAATGGAGATGCTTTAGACCAGTGGGTGGCGGGAGATCAATGGTAAAATCATCGTGTCCTTGCTGAAGATAGCAAAGTACATGTTTTTTGCGTGAAGGAAATACTACAAGTAGAATTTTTGTTAAAGAGAGTTTGAACACCGTGCAGATTTGAGGGAAAATTTGACATTCATTTCCATTATTACTATTATTAGACATTAGGTAGTGATTTGAGAGGAGAAGAATAAGGTATGCCACGGGTTTTGATGTACAGGTCTTGACCTTTTTTTTTTTCTTTAATAAAGCTTGACATTCTCTCAAAAAATGAAAATTCATAAAAATACTTAATAAGGTAAAATTAAAACAAGCATTTAAGGCCTTTGCAAAATAAAAGTGTGGCAACTAATTACAAATTAAAATTTTTTTATAGTAAATATGAAAACTAAACATAAATGGATATATTATTAGGCTGCATTTAGAATTACTTTTTTACATATCATCTCATAAAAATATTAATTTATTATTATTTAATTAATTTTAATTAATATTTTATATAATTTCATAGTTATATTAATATATAAAACTCTTTTAAAAGTAATTATCAAACAATAACATAATTTTTTTATAGTAAAATATTGAGTCACTTATAGTTATAGTATTTCATAATAATTATAAACACAACTTTAGTCTATTTTTTTCTTTATGTAACACCTCTAATCTCATATTAGAATAAAACTATGAGTGTGATTGATATATAGATGTAGGGATTAACACTACTAACATTTGAGTTTAAATTTTTGAAGTCTTGTAAACCTTAATTGAAAAGATATTAGATTAGTGATGAGTTTTGACTTCGAGTCATTTTAATTGGTATCAAAATCATTACTATGAGCTCTATTATTAGTACTTAGCATTTTACTATTTTAAGGCACTAGTACCAATTAAAACAACTCAGTCAAAAATCCATGACCGACCTAATAATTTTTTAGAGTTAAATTCTATGAGTTCTCAAAATTTTAAATTCAAATTAATTTTTACATTTATATACTAATTATACTTACGCTTCTTTATTGATACTAAGAATTACAGTGTCACAAATTATCTTTAAATTTTAATTTATTTTAAAAAAATTAAAAATCAACATTTATTTAGAGATGAAAGAAGTCCTGGCAACCTGACCTCCTAACGTAACCCAAAGGACGCGCTACTTAAATCACAGAAAAATCCCTTTTTTAAAGATGGTGAAATACTTACCTGACCTTTTAAATCACTTAGTACGATATGTATCATTCAGTTTATAGGTTTGGTTCAATCTCTCCTCTCAAAAATTAGTCCTTATAAAAAAAAAACAACAAAAAAAGAAGAGAGAAAATATGGTGAAATATGTTCGTACGGCCACACTAACGATTGGCTATGCTTTGTTCGTCATTTTGCAAAATACTTTGGTATTGACTTTTCAAAGTCAAGCTAGCCTTCTCTCCGAAACCAAATTTTTTTAGTTGATTTTGTGGAGCTGGGTGAAATTCCCTGTCCGGTCTTCTTTCCCAATTGCCTCCGAGATCCATCATCATGAACTCTGAGTTCCCCGCGGGCCGGAGACCACCCCTCTCCCAACCGCCACCAAAACGTCAACAGCTTCAACTCCAAGGCCCTCGCCCCACCCCACTAAAGCTCAACAAAGACTCCCACAAGATCAAGAAACCCCCGCCGCCACCTGACCGTCAACCTATGATCATCTACGCGATCTCACCCAAAATCATCCACGCTGACGTCGCGGACTTTATGGCCATCGTTCAACGCCACACTGGACTCTCCTCCGGCAGCTTCTCCAACTCCGGCGATATCTCCCCCGCTGCCAGACTCGCTGCAACTGAAAAAGCCAGGGCACCAGAGAAATCCGGCGACATGCCCAGCTCAGTGGAAGAAATCACAATCCGGTCTCCTGGGATTCTGTCCCCCGCTCCTGGGTCTTTGCCGCCGGTGGCTGCCGCATATTTTTCCCCTGTTTTTCACCAAGACTACAACCCGTTCTTTGACGACAACAGTGGCTTTATTTACAGTCCTGCATTAGTTTCGGGACCTATAATTTCTCCTACTCTTTCACCTGATATTTTTGGTCAATTTTGGGACTTTTAGTTCTAGAGATATTTACTGAAATATATTGCGTTTTGCAGGATTTGATTGCATCAACGGTATTTTACCCTCTTTTTTATTAACTATGAATTAGGAATAGGTTGAAAATTTGTTGTATTAGTGGTTGAAACTAAAAGAATGTGTACATTCTTATCTGAATATGTTTGGAAGTTTCCCATCTTCATTTGTTGTTCTACTTATGGTGATCTACATATGTTGTTTGAACCTTTTCCGGATTTTTTTCTAAAAAACCTTTTTGAGATTTGATTCAAGTTGTACTGAATGAACTTTGTTAAAACAGATGTTAAATCATTGCTGTTCACCCCTTCAGCATTCTAATTATTGTTGGGACATCAACTGGTAATGCTTTTGGAGGTACTAAATTTTGAACAATGCCCTTTTTAATTCAATGTAATCTTCTGAGGAGCTGTTGCTATATATGGTGTTATTGTCGCAAGCATTTTACAAAGAAAGTTTGAGAGCGTTCCACCATCAAAGATTTATATACCAGAGTCCCTCGGAGCAATATGTCCTATCTTCGTTTTTGTTCAACCTTTTATCCTTAGTACTTCTGTCTTTTGATAGAATTAAGTAAATGAACATTTTACTTTATAGACACCCAGTTTTTGGTGTGGACCGTGTCGTTACGACCACTAATGAATTATAAGATTGTTAAAAAAATATTAATTTAATTTAATTTAATTATTAAAAATAATTAATAAAATAATTAATATTATTATTTAACAAATTAAAATTAATTTATAAATTAATAGTTTTAAACATTATAATTATATGTTTAAAATAAAATTGTTTAATATGTGTTTTTAAGGTAGAGATTAAGGAGTTTTAAATGTATTTTTTATGTATTAATTTACATTAAAAAATAAAAAAAATTAACATTAATTTTAACATTTATAAAATATTGATATTTTTTTATTAAATAATTGATGAAATTAATATTAACTTTTAATTTTATTATGCGCATTAATAATAAAAATATACAATATAAAAAAATCTTTAAAAAAAATTACAAATATCAATTACATTAAATACAAATTTAATAGCCTAAGAATTCCATTGGTCATATTCATATCCGATTTTGATGAGTAACTAAACCATTGGTGCTGCGTTAGAGTTGTTTCCTAAAGGGAGTTTGAAGCATTTATTCCAAGAAGCCATTATCGGCCTAGGTGGAGTAACTGAGGAAATTGAGTAACAGCAGGACCAAAAAGGAAGGCAGTACTTAGGTCGGGTTCTGTCCTTTCTCATTTAATTTTTATTTTATTCATGATCTTTGTTAAATTATCTTTTCTATCTCAAAATAATAATAATAATTTATTTATTAAATTAAAAATTTAGTAATAATTTTTATATATTTATATTATTATTAAAAAATAAAAAATCTTTTTGTAATATAATGAAAAATTAAAATAAATAAATAATAATAAAATAAAAAAAAAGGTTACCTTTTTTAAAATTGGGTATTCAAATTTAATTGTTATATTTTTTATTTTTATTTATACATTATTATGTAAATATTTTGTTTCAATTTTTTCTGTATGATTAAAAGCTTTTAAAAAGAAGGGAGTTTTTTGGTTATTCCATATGGAAATTAGATCTATCATTGCCGTATATATATATATATATATATATAGAACAAAGATTCATATATAAAACTGAAAGGAAATCAGTAACACAGCCCTGAAACACAAACCCTTCAACCGTCGGACTCCCTCCTCCATCGCTTGCTCCTTTTGCCATGCTCAAAACCAGTTCCAATCGGTCCCTTCACCCCCTCCGAGGCTCCAACTATCACCTTTAATTACGGCGCAGTGATTCAATCTTCGTTGATCTACCCCTCAACGCCGTTGACTGAAGTCTTCCCCCCCTTCTCGCCTCTCAATCCCATTCTAGATCTGAAACTTTCTACAATTAAGGAATGAAAAGTAAAAAAAAAGCCGCCTAAATAATAAAGCATTTGATTTGGCTACATAAGAACATCTTGTAACAAGTGCCATTCATAGCATCGGAATTGTTAGGGTTGCTAATACCTTCCCTACAGGAATCGAACTCCCAAACTCTAGTGAGCAGACCAAAACTCAAGGATGGGCTACAAACAGGTAAGAAACTAGGCGACCAGTAGCACCTTATAAAAGATTGATGGTAACTCCAAAACTTCATCAATTCTCAATAAACGATTTCAATGCCACCCCTATCGGGGGCCCTTCTTCAGGACATTGCGACACCTTGCACAATAGATAGATACAAAAATAGAACGTTCAGCAGCAGTACAAATATGGGCAGAATTAACACAAATGCAATTTTATCAAAGAAATGCTATTAAACAAAAGATACAGTTTGAAATTCTTCAGCGGTTTAGAATCAAAGTGATTCTTCAGATAATAATAGAAATAAACCTCAAGAAAAGGTCCAGAAACTAAAACAAGTCCACATCACATTACATCATAAAAGGATATGGCACGCAACTGAAAGTGCCATCCTCATAAAAATTTGCCAACAATGACTCCATATCATCATCAGCTGAAGCCAGAGGACTAGGAACATTCATCAATGTAGAACCATTATTAGCACCAGGATCCATAGAAGGCACATTGGAAGCCGATGGACAAAGAATATCAGCTGTTGATACAGGGTTCTCAGCAGCATATGGGCTAGAAGCAACATAATTGACATGATTCACAGGGATAGACAGGCCAGGAGAAGAACTGGCTTCAACATGATTGAATGGACCATGAACCATTGGCTACAGAAAGCGAAGGCAGAAACATCAATAGATAATTCTACAATCATGTATCCATTAACTTTGTCGTTAATATACTAATGTAATTATCAAATAGATTGTAAATCAAATGATGAAGGGAGAAAAATCATACGAAAACAGAAAATACAAATTAAGGGTTATGTACCTCCAAGGAGAAATCTTCTGAGAGCATTGCCAACAGTGCTTCCATATTGTCACCCGGAATCCAAGTATCCTCCATAGACATGAGAGCATTGTTAACAGTAGGAGCCGCTGGAGACACCTTATATGCTGATGGTAACTCCAGAAAGGGGTTCTTGGGCACACATGAAGTGGAAGCAGTATAATCAACTTGATCAATAGGATCTGCAGAAGCTGGTGCAGACAGAAGATTCTCAGGTGCAGAAGGGGAAGTAACAAAAGAACCAACTTGATAAACATCATCGATAGAGGTTGGTGTAGACAGGAGGTTCTGAGGGACAGAAGAGGTTGTTGTAACAGAACCAACTAGATGCATAGGACCAACATTGGCAGGTGTAGACAGAAGATTCTCAGGTGCAGAAGGGGAAGTAACAAAAGAACCAACTTGATGAACAACATCAACAGAGGTTGTTGCAGGCAGGAGGTTCTTAGGGACAGAAGAGGTTGTTGTAACAGAATCAACTAGATGCATAGGATCAACATTGGCTGGTGTAGACAGAAGATTCTCAGGTGCAGAAAGGGAAGTAACAAGAGAAGAAACTTGATCAACAGCATCTACAGAGGCTGGTGTAGACAGAAGGCCTTTAGGGACAGAAGAGGTAGTTGCAACAGAACCAACTAGATGAATAGGATCAACATAGGCTGGTGTAGGCAGGGCAGCAGAGTAGACAACATGATCAGAATCACATTCATCATCAATCCAGTCTTCCTCTCTGAATGGTGCTCCATATTGGGCGCCATTTCTTGGGCCTGGACCATCCTTCTTGAAAATAACACAAAGCACATATGTATCCTGAGCAACCCCTTTCTCAGCCAGATCCTTGTCTTCAAGTTTGTATTCATGCATCACCCAATCAGTCCGCTCACCCTTTGGAGCTTTACCAGTGTGGAAAACCAAAGTTTTAATCATCCCTGCAACTTCCTGATAGTAAAGAACCGGCCTGTCCTTTCCTGTGGTTTTCCAATAGCCAGATTCAGTGGCACGATTAGACCTAGCCCCCCTTCTATATTTCTTCTCCACTGGGCAAAAGAAGTACCATTTAAGATCCCCAGTCCTCAAACAAGACTTATCTGGTAGATCCCAAGGAGCATGCTTGTATATGTCAAGCTCAGCAATGCTCTCAAAACAAATCTTCTTACCCATTACTTTCCTCTTCAGATAATACTTAATAAGCTCAACATCAGTAGGGTAAAACCGAAACCCAGGCGGCAGTGACATTTTACCCATGAAGAAATACTAAACAGCGTCCAACTATCAAATGATCTTTGAATTTTGATGGATGGTATAACCACAAGCAGTGGATATTATTCCAACAATAAAATAAAAAATAATAACTCCAAGAATAGATCAGAGGCAACAACTAAAAAAAATACACAAAAAGGGACCCGAGAGAATTAACTGTCAAGTCCAATGCCTAAACAAGATGCTTTGTGAACACCACAGTCTCCCCCTGCTCATTAACCCGAACGCACACCAAAGAAAAGACAGCTCTTTCGTGTTGAGATCAAAAGACATTTGGTGCGCAGCACAAGCCCTGTTTTAAACATCATTAAGTTCGCATACAATCACAGAAAACAGACACAAAATTTTAAAACCCTAATAAAGGTCAACAAACACCTCAAAACCCCAATCTAACATCACAAATAACAACCAAACTAAGAATTCGAGAACCCTAACACAAAATCAATGAATCAAAATCGAAGATTTAAACTAAAAACAGAAAACCCTAGAAGGGCAGGAACATACCGGGCGGAGAGGAAAGCTGGGGAGAAAAGAGAGTCGTGATTGTGAGCCTTAGGCGTGTTAGAACACAATTCTAGTCGGAGAGCTGCATTTATGGGCAGGCTCAGTCAACCGAGTAGCTGAGGGTGTTTGCGTCTTTTCGACCATACAATGGTTCTTTGACAAAAGGAAATCTCGTAACTGACCCTTATACTTTCCTTGTCGCCAATTAAGTTAATTTAACAAATCATTTATTAATTTTTATATTATTTTTAGTTTCATATATTATTTTAAAATTTTTTTAATTTTGTCTATTAATTTTCACATTTATTTTTATTTCATCTAATCCGTTATATTTAACAAAAATATCTATTATCCTTAACGAAATCATTTTATTTTTTAAGAAAATATTTAATCCTCTAACTATATTTATTTTGATCTTTTAGTTCTTAAATTTATATTTACCATAAAAATAGTTTTTAATCTTATCTTGTTAAATGAGTTTTTCATAAAATTGTTTTACAGAGCAAACTATATAGATTTTATTTTTATATTATTTTTTAGGAACATTTAAATAATTTTTTAGGACAAATTGCATACAATTTATCATGTAAAACAAATTAATTATTCAAGTTTATTACAAATTTCAACTAATCTATCTTTGTAAAATATGTCTTGAAACATTATATTTTATTAGGATTATAATATCATTTTTTTAAAACTTAAAGGATTACTCTTTCTACTAAATCTAACAAAATTTTGTACTAATAGATTATTTTGAAATATTCCCAAAGTTTATAAAACATTTGGAAGGAAACTAAACTTTTTAAATTAAAATGAAATCAAGCTAATATTTAATAAACTAAAAATTGAATTAAGCTGTCGTCAATTAAAAGTCCAATCTTTGCTTCATTGGAGAAATTGAGAAAGGTTTTCGATCTTTTAGCTTTCAACTTTTATATTTTTTTATTTTAAAAATATATAAAATATTAATTAAAATAAACATAAGAGATTAGTACATATTAATTTTAAGTTTTTTTAAAATTAGAACTTCAACCTATATTTATAAACTAAATCTTAATTTAAAATTCAAAAATTTACCTCATTAAATATTAATATTTAGATTTATAAACTGATTATATATTTTAATATAATTAATTTCTAAATTTTAATATCAACATTTAATAAAAATAGATTTTTAAATTTTAAATTAAATTTTAATTAAATAAAACCGTATAATTTAATGTTGAAACTTTAATTTATTTTAGAAGTCAGGATTAATATGTAAATTTTTCTTAAATTTAAAATATATTTTATATATTTTATATACTTTTAAGATATTAAAAGAGTAAAAACCCAACAATTATAGTTATATATCAGTGCTATCAAAATAAACCTATTAATGAGTCTCTAGTTATTGCCCTAACTAGTTTTGTTAATACCACAAAAAAACTATTAATTTTTTTTTTAGGGTTTGTTTGGTGTAATAACTAAAATTTAATAGATTGTGAGTATTGGACATAAAAGATAGTAGTGGTAGATGTGGATACAAATGGTGATTAGCCAATAATAGGTGGTTGATAGTAAAAAGTAAATAGTAGTAATAACAATCTTTTAAATTTCATTCTACTATGAATAATCTTACTTGTCATCAACTGTACAGTTAAAATCCTTCGTAATGGTTTGTATATTAACCATCACATCCTCATGCTTAAGGCGTGTTTGGTACAGAAAGAATGTCGAGATTTTGCTTGGATTGTTGTAAACTAGATTCTGTTGCTTGCGTTTTGACGTCGAATGGTCTTGGAAAGTTATTTTATCTTGTAAGTTTTTTAACACCTGGTGTTGAAAACGCCTGGTGTTGAAAACGCCTTCCAGATTAAAAACTTGGGACAAAAAAATTTCAAGTAAATGGTTGGATAAAGGACAAAAAAAAAAAATGTGGAGATTGACCCTTGAATCTTCTATATTAAGCACATAAAAAAAATGAGTGTAATACTATAAAAATTGGGCATGTAAACTTCAACACAAATGTTTGCATCCAACTTAAACTTAATTAATAATAAGTGTAGTAACTCTCTTTGTATTTAAGTCACATATATTTCTTATTATATTTTAATGTGAGATTTTACCTATTTAACACGTTTTTTGGTATGTAGGCCCAATATGAATTTTGAGTCCTATCATGATGGTTAATAATAGACTTAATAGGAATGTAGCCTTGATCTCATGTAAAAATTGGGCATGTGACCTTTAATATAAGGTTTGCATTTAACCTAAAATCTAATGGCTATAAGTGAAGTAGCATCCTTAGTATTTAATTTACATTTTCTTAATATTGTTTGATATGGAAATTTTCCACTTAACACACCCTCCTTACACTTAGGCTTGGCATTAACTTTGAATCATGTTACTTTGATCTTAGGCTACAAACTTAATTAAGAGGTCCTCTTTATGTGTAGGTTCAATATGTCACATGGATCTCAAGTTAACAAATGAACTTGATATGCCACCCTCTCTTAGACTTCTAAGGAATGAAGGTTGAACTATGATACCATATGTAACAATTCAACCCATTAATGATAGTCTACTTTAGACTATTGGGTATAACGATTTTAAAATGTGTCAATAAGGGTAAATGGCTGTTAACTTATATGCCTAGTATCTCTTCCATGCTTTGTCGATGTAAGATTGATTTAGGAGTGTATATGACAGCCCCTTTCAGGATTCAGGGTCTGTGTTGAAGTTTGCCTCACCATTGTTCAAGAGGTCATGCAAAGTGATTATGATAACTTATGTAATGACTTGACCTACTAGTGATTGTTTACTTTAGTCTATTGCGCCTTATAGTTTTAAAACATGTCAATACAAGTTAATGGGCATTAACTTATATACCTAGTATCTTTCCCGCACTTTGTCGAATTGAGATTTGCCTAAAAATGTCACATACACCCCTTTTTTAAAACTTAGTGTCTTTACCATGGTTTGCCCTATTAATGTTCAAGGTGTTTGAGAATTTTTGATAACTAATTAATAGTTAGTTATAATTGATTGTTTTATATTTATAATCAACTATTTCATATTTTTGTAATTATGTCTCAATATCAATAATCGATTACAAATAAAAAAAAAACCAACGTAAAGTTTTTATTATAATTGATTATAATTTAAAAAAATATTATTACTCTTTAAATTTATAAAATAGATGTTATAATTAATTATAATTAACTACTTAGTAATTTTTGGATGTATTTTGAAGTGAACCAAATACAAAATTTGAAAATACAATGTATAACTTTCCTAAATAAATATATTCCAGTCAAAATGTTTCATGGGAATATTTTCTTCCTAAGTGGAAGAATTAAAAGACAACCAGATAAATCTTTAAGCAACCCCTTATTAATTAGGACTTATTATTCTCCCTTCAATGTACTTGAAACTTATCTTCCTAATTCACCAAGAATCCTCCCATATATTCTTCACTCCTTATCTTTAGGTCCAAAAGTAAACCCAAACTTAATACAACAAGCTTCAAGTCTAACAAGACTTTCCTATCGTCAGATTTATTAATGACTATGAAACTCTTCTCACTAAATGCCTAGAAACCTTTAATAAGAACTCAATCTCCCTCACCCTCATTCCAAAATAAATAAAAACACATTTTCTCACATCACTTACTTGTAACTATGTTTTCACAAGCCACATGTGAAAAAAGTTGGTTTGATCATTAGTTAAATTCACATAGTAATAAACAACACCAAACATTCCAAGTCCCTTCTCCACCTTTTTAAGGGCCTTGATGAAATAGTACTCTTACTTTGTTAAGATCATCCTTTACTAAAAATCCTCTAGTTCATTTGCCATTAATGCCCTTTGGCAACACCTCAAAACACAACACAACAAGCACCCGATGAACTACCAAAGAACAGAACATAAGTTGCCACCTCCGCATAAAAATTTCTTACAACAAATTTGTCTTTCTTTGTCCATGAACCAACATCTCCACATGTCCTCTCTTCAAGCAAATTTTAGACCTACTAAGCCCAACAAAAAACACTTTCCAACTTGACAAGTGACCTTACCTGACATACTAGCAATGCTCCTTAATTAACCTTTAAGCTACCACTAAAATTAGAAAGGAGGAAAGCAACTACCAACTCCCCACAAAGATAATTTTAGAAGAATGGACACTAAGAAACCCTATCACCACTCTTAGGGGAATATTTTTAATCACATTTTATTTTATAATTTTTTATTAATTAAAGATAAAATTATAAATGAAAATTTAATTTAATCACCGTCTTTTAACTTTCTCCATATATTGAGATTTTGTATACAATTAATTTATTTTCTTACTAATACATCACTACTCTTTGTTCTAAGGTTCCAAGGGTTAGACTTTGGAGTTATGGGTTTCTTCCTTCATGATTCCTCAGCTTTGGAGTTGCTCTCTCTTTCTTTCTCTTTTTTATTTCTACTTTTATTTCTCTCTTTTTTTTTTTTTTTATGTATATATAAGTTTTGTTTCAAGCTTGTTTTGTCTCGTTCCTTGCCTTAATTCTATATTGTTTCACATACATGAGATATTTAGTGGGTTAGATTTAGAATTAGGTTTTGTTTAATTAGTGGTTCTTGGGGTAGGGCGAAGCTTTGAAATGGCAATATTGATATGGTAGTAGAGTTTGCACTTTATCAATGAAATTTGAGAAGGCTGGTTTTGGTGATTTAATGGAGTGTTGTAGCAAGCTTTGCTTCCTTGTGGCAACAGATTTCAATAAAGCTTCCAACTCTATCTTAGATGCTAAGTACTAATTAGACCCTTTGTTTACTTGGTTTTACATCAAATAATAGATTATCAATGCTTGTTGTTGTTTTGTTACTAGTCTTTTGCCTATGTTTTTGCAACAGTTTTGTTTTCGTTGGCCACCTAAAAACATAGATAAAGGATGCATTTATCTATCTTTCGGGATAATTGCTCCATGAATTTATTAGGGTTATTCATGGTTAATTGAGAATGTCCTATAACTCATACTGCTCACAATGATACTAATAGCTTTGTTTATACTCATACAGACCATATAGTAATTACTAATGTAATCCTAATGTGCAAATGATTT